TATATCCCCTTCCCCCTTCAAACCTAGTTTAAAGCCCTCTTTAGCTTTCTTTATTGAATACATAACCACCTTTGACAGAGTTTTTCAGTTTGTTAATTATAGAAATTGCTTCTGCTAGGCTTGTCTATTACATTCTATATTACCAACTACTGCTTTGTATTTATTTTTTGTTTTCAGAATATAATTACAATCCTAGTCACCACAGAGCCTGGGAGTGTTTTTACAGACTGAGTTTATACCATCTGTAATATAAAAAATATTAACTGAAACCAGTTTTACCTCTCTATAATGACAAAGATAATTAATTTCAGCTTTTTACATGTAGTAGTTGGTTTTTTTGTTGCTTCAGTGTAAACTCTTACACATTCTAGTGCCTTGTATTTTTTATTATCAAATCAATATTAATTTCATTTATGCTCATCTAATTTATACAGTGACTTCAAAATTTATGCAGAATATGCTGAAACCTTCCCTCAAGACTTCTTAGCTGGCATCCTGGGTGAAAGTCTCAGCATTATATATATATCATGTTTATCAGAAATGAGAGCCTAGGGATGTTGCTCAAAGCTGTAGCTCATGTATTCTTCATTCATTTCCCCTACTATGCTATTGTATCTCTGCCCTACACTTGTACACTTTACTTTCGGTGGTAGAATTTTCCTAACTTTCCCACTTTAATTCTATTTTAATTCTCTGTATTATTTCTTTTAAAATTTCCCTGTGATTTTTTTCTCTTTATTATTTTCCAACCTCTTGACTAGTCAAAATATTATGATTTTTCTTCCTAATCATTTTGTCCTCATCATTTGAGCTCATCTCTCTTTCTTTTGGGCTTAATAACTTGCCATTTTATTTTATGTCACTGTCTCCTGCCGTGTTATTCAAATTAAGATGCACCTGAAGATGAGACTGTATTACACTAATTTCAGTTTTTCAAGGATTCTAACAGTTCATCTTACAATGTATTTATCTTTTTCTACTCCTCCCAACATTTAATTTTATTTTGCATTTGTATTCCTAATTGCTGTTTTTAATCCATACTTATGTCACTAGTTCTAACCCTAGTTTCTTGTTTACTAGTGTTAATCCTACTGAACCTCACCTCCACTGGGAATTTTAGTGAGTTGATTTCTGAGATTTCATTTCAAGGAAGGCATGATTTAGTAATACAGGCTAGTTTCTTATTTTCTTCATGCTTTGTTTCCTTAAGGAGTACCTATTGACTCTACAGCCCTTGTGTGCTTTTCTGACTTATGACCTCATAGTAACTCCACCTGGAAATAAATACTTTTTAAGATGATGCCTTTAGGTAGGTATTAATTCCAAAACCAAGAGAAATATTTTAGGAATTGAAGGGCCCAGGAAGGCATGAAGCATACAAATGGTGCCATATCACTTATGGAGGACTTTGAGAATCCATTTTCTCCTTCAACAATCTCCAGCAGCAGTTGTTAAAAACAAAGATATAAAATGCAATCCACTCACGTATCAACTACTACTAATAAAAAAGCCCCCTCTCTTACTAAACAAAATTTTAAAATGGCATGTTGTCTCACCTGCTGTCCTGGCAAGAATTTCTCATGAATCAACATGACATAGAGAATATCTTTATTCTTTTAAGTATAAATGTCAAAAATATCTAAGCATATATTGTTAACTTAGCATAAAATGTCTAAAAGCAAAACCCATTAATTTTTATATAATCTGTCAATTAATTTAGATGACAATTTTAATTTTTTTTTCTTTTCCAGAAACACGGCAGCAAATAGCTTACTCCTGTTAGAGAAAATAAAATCTACTATTATCTCAACAGAGAGAATGAGAAGAGGAAGAAATGTCATATAGAAAATGTCCACATAAGAAAAAATGAATAATTAAAAAAAAACTATTCCAAGTTTTAAGGGAAACTGGATTGCAAATATGGGATTCGGCAAATTTCAATTCTAAATGCTAGGTACATAAAAGATTTTCCCATCACAAACTCTTGTACTTTACAATAGGAGTAAAAAGGAGGTCATCTTCCTCCTATTCTTTATACGGCTCATCTGTCTAACAAATCTAATCTTGAACAGTCTGGTATGGAGGTTTTTTCCCAACAGTAAATAGCAAACCTACTGACAACATTGCTCTGTTTTTCTCAAAAATAGTACATGTGCAGACAGCAGAAATAAGTTGCCAAAATAAAGAAGACCCAAAGTTAAACTTAGTAGATTTGCCTGCTACCACTAGAAATGGTATTGTTTCACAATTCATAAAATAACCAAACTAAGATCACAGATTCTTACTGTTTTTACTGCATCTCCACTCACATAAACATCCAATAAAGTAATTTTAAATTAAACCTACTTTTAATAAAAGTCTAGGTAAAGACTGAAGAATCAGCTCAGAAAAGCCCTAACTACAGAGAAAATCTGTTTTAGTAGAAAATATAAGCAGCTTTCTACAGTATTAAGTTACTTGGAAAAATGCTGGATGTCATGCTGGTTTCACTTACACCAGCATAATTCAGAAAGAATTCAGCTTGAAGTCAATGAAATTATTCCCAGGAAAGATCAAAGTAAGATCATTAAGTAGCAAAATTGTGGAGACTATGGTAACATATCAATATTAATACTTATTGGCTTTATAATGCATTGAACATTATTCAACTTTCAGTCCTTTAGATTTCAATTATGCACACAGGATCTAGGATAAACATCTCCCAAATTCCTCCATAATCATCCACTGAGCTAGACAGACAGAGTAACCTCTTTTTTCTGCCTCTTCAGCTTGCACCAGGAGACGAGCACATATTGCTTTCACTTCTTCCCAAGATATACATACAGCTGGTTGTCTGACAGGGGAAAAGAAACTAGTATGAAGTATCTCCATTTTAAATACACAAAAAAATTTAAAAGACAAACTGCAAAACTTAGTTACGAGTTGGAACGCACAGAGCTGAATCAGAATAGCTGCACTATTACTGTAAGATACATCCTTGTAGGAATTTCATTGTTCCACACTGAATACCTTCTGCTTCTCAGTTTTTTCTAATTTGTCACATGGAAGACTGTGTTCACACTACATAATTAATCTATGCAAATGCTGCACAACAGGTGCAGACAGAGAAAGGTTATAAAACAAGCCTCTTCCTCCACCTGCATGTAGCAGTCAGATCCTGCCTCACATACAAGGAAATGTATTAAAAAGGCTTAGTCAGGGTCTAGGAAGTACTAAATGTAAATTCAGTCTACTGCTGTTAAAGGAAACAGCACGAAGCCCCTCAAGGATTCCCTGAATGGCACCGTAGCAGCCTTGCTTTGAATAAACTCTTGAAACTGCTAGTAGTTAACATCATAACTCATTCTACTATATTAATAACTTAACTCATCCTACTGTGTGATTCAAGCAAAGGCATAACTTGGCACCATCTGCCCCATCAATACACAACCAACAGCAGAAATTATTAAAATATTTTTAAAATAGATCATCAGAAAGTATTTTAAAAATGAAATTCAGATAAGAATTTCAAGGTAATCTTTGATGCAAAGAAGCAAAAAAAAATTACATATATAAACTGAAAATTTTAGAACCTGGAGTAAAGCTCCCTAAAATCAATTAAGAGGTGGTTTAATTAATTTTAGTTGTTATTAACAGGTGTTTCTATTTATTAGGCAAATGACTATAAACCAACCAAAAATAGAGATTAGGCTACAACTATGTTAGAAAGCGTAACAATATCAGGATACCACAGCCACCTTAGAATATTTTACAATCCAAATTGCCAACACAAATAAAATTGACAGGAGGTGGACCAAAGGAAGAAGAGATGGGAAAGAAGCAGTAATATAAACATGCTTGTTAACTGAACATCACAAACATATTAATAAGATAATTTTCTTAGTACTTCTTTGGTAAAGGTTTTGTTAGAAATAAATGCTTGAACATAGAAAAATTTAAGAACAGAAAAACATAAAGTATCTAAGGGGGAAAAAAGTTGAGGGAATGAAATATGTGATCGATACATAAATAACTGCTGTTTTGTAAGTAGAACTAATACATCCCTGAACTCTGTATGCTATATTCTCAAATGATAATTATAGCCTCTCCTTTAGAGACTTTTTTATTTATAGAAACAAGATGGCAAATGCTATGTGAAGTAATTCCTCGTATATAAGCCATCTGTCATTTTAGCTACCATTTCTTAGATAATTATGATAATGGTTACATGAAAACTTAATGAATTCAGACCAATAGATTATTCATTGCTATTTCCAAATATTCACCTGCCTTTCTTGAATTTTGGTAATGTTTTGAATGTTGATGTTAAAATTCGGCTATTTCCTTCATTATTTCGAATGTCCATGCAGTTTAGCACATTCAGCTGTTTTTTTTCATCTGGACTTTCTTCATAATTTTTGCAACCAATGCATTTGCAAATAGAGGAACACATAATTTTAGCCTGGCAAATATAGAATATTTAGAATAAAAATTCTATAAATCTTAAAATAAACATACATTTGAGCAACCACTGGAGCTATACCACCAGGGACTTATTCTAGATGTGCTGGTCTTGGATACTCCCAGAGCAAGACCATCAGTATCAACACAGTAAGGAGTAGGCAAGACAGTTTTTTTTCCATGGATTCTCTGTGGAGATTGATGTTCTGTACATGGACAAATCACTCCTCCCCTCAATTTGTGGATAACTTTGCAAGATAACAAAATACCATGGATGCAAAGAAACTACCAGGATTAGCAGAAAGCTATTCCTCATTTCTTCTGGAGTGAGGCATTGGCTGACAGCTCCTGATACCGAAAAATTTAGCTGATCAACTTCAGCAAGATTCAGTTATTTAAAGACATGACAAGAAAGAGACTGTGCCTCCTATGTTCAAAAAGTTTTATGATGAAAAATGCAAAGAAAAAGAGAAGTGATTATTTTTAGCAACTGCTAGTTACAGAATATATTCAATGTTAACGTAGTAAGTGATGAAAGTTCACCTGACTCACCTCAAAGCACTCACAATAATTCTTGAGGCATCCTGAGCGCTTGCAATTACATCCTTTGTTATGGCGAGGTTTAGTTTCTCCCAGTTTCCTTTTCCCAATCTTTGGTAAGAAAGCTTCTGGGTTTCTATCAAGACAGGCCTAAAACATTTTTTGCTAGATTATGAGAAATTCAATGACATTTTTTTAAACACCTGAATGACTGTGATCCAATGTTTAACAAAGTTCTTACTTTCCATTCTGGTGGTATGAAGCCCATGGATAAAGGAGTCTTCCATGGCATGTGAGAGCAGAAATTCAAAGATTCCAGAACACTAAGCCAACTTGGCTCTACCACAGGAAGCAACTTACATCGTTTTTATGGAATAACCTACATGACCCACTACTTTTCTCTTGGGGCTGGTTTTTCTGCACTGCTGACACTACTTTCACCAGAAATAAAAAGTTCTCAGTGAAGAAAGAACCCTTGCATACATAGTAACATACGTCTCAGAAGTTTTAAACATTTCTTATTTTATTAGTGGCCCAATACAAAGACCATTCACTGAAATCAGCATTGGATTGGAACAGCAGATTTTAATTAAGGTCCCAAGACCTCACAATGCCATGGACTAGTAAAAGGCAGGTTAAATATGTTATATGCTCTTTATGTACAATATTTATGGATGGCACAGGCATGCTTTCATCAGTGACAAACAAGATCTATTGTGGTCTACAAGCTGCCATCTACAGCAGTGAAAGGAGTGCTTAGACAGCAACAACCACATCAGCTGAACATCTGATTTGACAACTAGTTGTTGCATATTGACAGCAAAAACTGTTGTGGCTGTCACTGGCTGGATGTAGCAAAGCTCTAACTAATTAGATCAACATCTTGTACAATCCTGCAATGATGTGAATGACACAAAAAGAGTTCTGGAGGGCTGCATACAAGAAGCACACAGCCATTAACATATCCTTAAAGCATCAGCAGTAGAATAAGACTTTTCATTATAATTTTAAAACTTACAAAACATAACATACATATTAGATTAAATTATTGCCCAGATTGTGCAGTTTGATATACACACAAAAATTAGCCCACATATTATTCTTTATTCCACTAATAAAATCAGTTTCCAAAGTTAGAGGCAACCTGCTTCTCCCTAGTGCAGGGTTCAGTGCCACTGCCAGGAAAGCCAACTTTGCATTGCTGCATGGGTCAACCAGAAAGACTAACACAGACAACTGCAGAAGATCTGTCAATGAGAATAATAATTTGGATAGTTTTCCTTTAACTACTGTCTGACTTTGTGATACAATAAATTTCTCTTCAAGTGAAAAAAATTTCTGAAATTAAGTTTGGATTTGAATACTTCCTTCCCTAAATTTCTTTATGTAAGAATAAACAGAGGCAATGCTTAGCTTTCTCTAGGTTAAAAATAACATATTCCAAATACTGTAACTAATGTAAAAAACAATACTGCTGTATTTTTCGTACATGAAGCTGATACCAATATGTACTGTATTTTTTCTTTTTTTTTTACCTTAATGGCTTTAAATCGCTCAGTTTCATGAAGTTGATTGTTGTAACAATTATTGCAGTTGCAGTTGTTGCAAAAATCACCATTGGCAAAGCAATCACAATATCTATGATTAACATGTAAAATAACATAAGAAATTAAAAGATTAACTGGACAAAGAAATTATATTTTAGTATACAGCATTTATATTCTACATAGAATTTTCCAGATATGCTCTGAACAATTCTTCTAGCTTCTACTTTTATTTTTCATACTTTGGATTATATGCAGTCATCTACACCTTTGCACCAAATTTTGAGCTTGTGTGACACTAGTTTACATCAACTGTGGATCTTCTGAAGTCAGTATCAGATGAGTAATTTTTGACAAGTATGTACTGTTCATTTTAAAGCACACATTTCTTGTATGTTTGTCCTTTCATCCATACACTGTTATTAGCATTTATTAAATGTTGATAAACTATTACTTACAATTTAAGACACTGAGATTTTGTGCAGTTACATGGTTTCTTAGACTTTGTCACCCCTGAACCAAAAGGTAAGCTACACAGGTTGAAAAAGGAAAAAAAAATTAGAAAAAACTATACAAATACAACTACAATGAAAACTAATTATTCTGTAGTTTTGAAACAATAAATACTGATTTTATTTTTTTACACCAATATTGGTGCTACTTAATAACTGTGGCCTCACAGAGTGCATGAGAAAAAAGAGAATAAGCAACCTGTAATCTCCCTCTATCCACCAGCTCTCACTACTTGGGACAGGTCTGCCCTTAGTCATACAACCTGGTAATGGTTGTGCAACTGCAAAGCTCTCCCACCTTTCGCACTGGGGTTGCATTTGCCTCTTATTTAAAAATTATCTGCAATTAAATATTATTAAAAGAATTCCATTAGTATTAGAAATACAGGCAAAACACATGCTAATTAGATTTGGAAATTTATCAATTAACTTAGAAAATTAAATATTTTTCAGTCAAACGGACAGCACAATTGCACTGATCCTAAGAAAACCTGAAACCATGCTACATAGTCTTGACCTCCTGGCATGACTGGCATCATGACTACCAAGATCACAGAATCATAGAATTGTTTAGGTTGGAAAAGACCTTTAAGATCATCCAGTCCAATCATTAACCTAACACTACCAAGTCCATCACTAAACTAATTAAGGGTAGAGTAGTAATTTCATGTTTCCTGGCTTGGTGGCTGGATTATTTTTTTAATGAAAGTAAAAACTAGGAATCATTAAGATTGGAAAGGATCTCTAAGATCATCAGTCCAACCATCAACCCAACACCACCATGCGCACTACACCATGTCCCAAAGTGCCACATCTACCCGTTTTTTGAACACTTCCAGGGATGGTGACTCCACCACCTCTCTGGGCAGCCTGTTCCAATGCTTGACAACCCTTTCCATGAAGAAATTTTTCCTAATATCATGCAAGGTGTCTGACCAGTTCTGAAAAAAAGAAAAAACCACAACACCAAAGAAACAAACTAGACAGCAAATACTAACTCCCTACAGATAAACAGCTGAAACACACTGAATGGCAGTGTTTCTTTCACATCTTTGCACACAATGCAACCCTTTTTATGTAGGAAAGTGCTGTGTCAAGCCCTCAGAACACTACAGTTCACAAATACTGCAGAATACTGTAGTTTTGTGCCACTCTGTGCTAGTTTATATTGAATTAGCACACATCACTTGCTGCACTATATACATAAAGCATTCTTACAGAACTGCATTTTTGTTATGACAGAAGCAGCAATGCAACATGAAAATGTCTAGGATTCTCTGCCAGTTTAAAATTCAAAAGTCATCATGGATGCAAGATGTTTCACACATCTTACCCCTCCGAGGTCGTTTTCACTGGCCTGTGCAGATTTGATTCTAGATGGAATGTAGCAGTGCTAGCTACTGGCTGTAAGGGTCCATTTTCAAACTGTTCAAGATAAAATGCATATATCCCATTTATACTAACTTTTTAAAAAATACTCTTGTAAGTTAACAGAGAAAAAGTAACACAAAGAAAATACTTCAGGGATAATTTGATTGCCAAGGTTACTGATAAAAACTCATGGAAGTAGAGTCATGAAAACGGCATGCATCTCTTCTTGGAAACCATTCAGTATGTCAGGAAACCCATTTCTCCCAATGCAGGGAACCAAAACCAGCTTTCAGTGCTACAGTGTTGGTGCATTATTTTCAATTTACTGATAATTCTAGGTTCAGTTGCTTTTAATTCTAGTAGTCAATTGAAACTCACTAGTGATTGGATGATTTACATTATGTTCAGCTGCAATATGACATCTAATTGGTTGAAGACTAAGCAAAATTTAAAAAAAGAATCAGCTCACAGGCCAAGAAAACACACTGCAGATCTGTTGTCTCTTCAGACATATGACTAATAAGGGCCTGGTTATGGAGAGAGACAAGGGAAAAACAATACCCTGATATTACTGGTAATGGAGGAACAGTGAATAATTGAACATCACTGTTATTTTAATAGGTGATTAATCTAGCTGACCATAAAGAGGAGGAAAATTCATATACTTAAAGCAAGAGAAGAAATCTAGGGAATGACTAATTTGGGATAAAGCTAGAGAAGTATTACAAGCCTGTCTACATCACTGCTCCAGAATGTTTAGGCACCAATTTTCAGATATACTGCCTTTAGAGACAGTAATTGTTTGATCTGACCCTTCGGTTTTTCATTCCCTGTTTTATGATAGTGGCTGCTACCCACAAACCATTTGTTGTGTTTGTACCAACATCACATATTCACTTCACACAAATCAAAAGTTAACAATTAAAAATCTGCAGTGATTTTTCCTACCAGCTCTGTTGGAAGTAACACATGAGAAGCCAAACACCTGCAAAGATTTTTAGCCTTCTGTTCGATTTTCATCAACAAAAAGATAATTGACAAAAATTAGAAAGACTTAATGACTGTTAAATCCTAATCAAGAGAAAAGAGTGTAAAAAATCCTACTGGAAGAAAATATTCCCCTTCTTCTGGTAAAAGTTAATGTGCTTTCCAAAAGAGTCTTAAAATGGTTCTTAGAAATAACATAATTATATAATACCAAATTCAAGGTTTTGAAACTGGAATAAATTTATTTTTCTTATGGAAAACTGTATTTTTAATTCTGGTATTACTTCTAGAAAATGCTGAAGTCAGAAACCTTTATATGCAAAAAGTATACTGAGTGCAAAACTAATCTGTCCAAACTAGCTAAAGTGTCTTTAGAAAATGCATATCATTGTTACTTCCCAACATAGACTTAACAACCCATTTTAAGAAAAGGCAAAAGAGTGTATATTGTACTTAACAAGTTTAAAGGATAAAGTTTCTTTACCTCTTGTTCATTCAGAACTAGTTCACCTGGAACAGGCAAAAACTGCCCCAGTACAGCTGTCACAGGGATGTCCGCATCTGAAAAGAAGACATTTACCTGAAGACAGCAGGACTACTCACAGTGTATAAAGTTTCATTTATGCATAAATATTTTTTGAATTAAGTATATAGGCAAATTGGTATCTTCAACTTCTTTTGTTAATAAAAAAAAATTACCTGAGGCTGTCTGTCCTCTGTTAGCACTTTCTCCTAGAATTTAGTTTTGAATCCAAACTTACTGTACAATAAATAGTGTCAATGAAGGACCTAGAAGTTTTTTCTCCAGAAATGTTTTTCTCATTGTGAAAAAACAAGAATAAAAACCTGACCAAACAAAAATACCCCTGACAGAAGAACCCAGCACCAATTTGTCAGCTAGAAATTTGAACACAGGATGTTTTTATTCTATGACATCAAATACATTTAAATTCAAATGCCACAGACTTGAAATATTTTGATAAAATAAGAAAATGTCAGAAACAATTAAATATATTTATCCTGAATTCTTATTTTACAGATTTCCAGAGTTCTGAGAGAGCATTTGGAGTAGAGGTCTTTAGCTTATGAAAAAAATTACTAAAAACCCGTGGAGAAAACCATAGCTGTAAGAGTAAGTCTTTGTGTAAGTCCTGGTGAAGAACTGCATGTAAGTACATAAGCATCCTAGCCTATGCAGAAAAAAGCAAACATCAGTCATAGTAAAATTACAAGATGAATCTTATACCTGTACTTCCTTCCTTCCCATCTAAAGAAAGAAAAAAAAAAAAAAAAAGAAGAAGCTAAAGGACAGCTTAATTCAAAAGTTGAAGAGATTAGCCCCCAGAAACTTTTTTATATAATTTCTGGACCTAATTCTTTTACTTGCTATGAAGATGAGTAAAACAGAAGAAAGCTTAAGCAAATAAAAACTAAAAAACATATGCCAGTGCAGTCCTCAGCTTTTTCTTCCCTAACATTACAGGAAATGAATGAGAGTTTGAATTTCATAAAGGAACATGACCTTTAACTTGAATGTCCCTGGTTTACTCTTCCAATGGCTTCTGACAAATATAAGTAAACAGGCTCCATACCTGGACCATCTGGTCAGAGATAGTCACACTCAGCACCTATTGATATCGAGAGCAATATTTGTGCTTGTATGATGCCCAATATTAAAAGGCTTTGTTTTCACATTGCTATCAAAATACATCACTGTAATAAAATTATAATAATAAATAATGAAATAAACCATGTTAATAATGTTTTTGAGGAAGACATATTTAGGTAAAGAAATATTTCTTTAAATTAAAACTAAACTACACTCAAATACTTTGTTGTTGCTCAGATTAAAATGTGTTACTCCATCTAAATAGCATTAACTTTAGGATCTCAGAAACGACTTTAAAAACTGATGGCATTTCAAGTTCACATAATTATGTAAATATTAGTGAGGCATTCTGAATCCCAAAACTAAAGTATATCCATAGCCCGCAACACTGCTTTTCATTTATAGAGAAACAGTGACACTTGGTGGCAAGCTAGGGTAAATGCAAATGTATGCAGGTGCTTTATATGGAATGTAATCTGTATATTAAAAACTTTCAATAAATTCAACATACCCATTACATCATTCTTATTACACTGAAGTGCCTAGAAATTTTTCAGTTATAAAAGAAAGTAAAATAATAACTGGTGATAGCTACATTAGCTTAGGCTCATCTCTCACTGTTGCTGCTGAAGAACATGTCCTAGTTTTGGCTGGAATAGTTAATTTTCTTCCTAGTAGCAGGCATAGTGCTGTGTTTTAGATTTAGTAGGAGAAGAATGCTGATAACACGCTGATGTTTCAGTTGTTGCTAAGTACTGCTTATGCTAGTCAAGGACTTTTCAGCTTCCCATGCTCTGCCGGTGCACAAGAAGCTGGGAGGGGGCACAGCAAGAAGAGTTGATCCAAACTGACCAAAGGGCTATTCCATACCATATGACGTCATGCTCAGTATATAAACTGGCGGGGGTTGGCCAGGGAGCAGCAATCACTGCTCGGGAACTGTCTGGGTATCGGTTGGTGGGTGGTGAGCAATTGCATTGTGCATCACTTGCTTTGTATATTATTATCATCATTATTGTATTGTTATTATTATCATTACTATTTTTATTTTATTTCAATTATTAAACTGTTCTTGCCGCCACCCAGGAGTGTTTCTCACTCTTACTCCTCCAATTCTCTCCCCAGTCCCATTGGGGTAGGGGGAGTGAGTGAGCAGCTGCGTGGTGCTTAGTTGCTGGCTGGGGCTAAACCACGACAGTCCTTTTTGGTGCCCAACATGGGGCTCGAAGGGTTAGAGATAATAACAGATTAACAAGCGTGTATTAAGGAGTCTGTTAACAGTTGCCAGTCGCGATATTAGTTCATCTGATCTGCGCCATATTCTTTTTTTTTGCAGTACATGTTAAAGCTTGTTGTTGGTTTGTGCAGTGTGCTATGCTCTGCAGTGATTCATGATCTTTTGCTAGGGAGGTTGCTTATCAAAATCCTGACCTTGAGCATTGCTTGGTATCTGGG